ATTTCACACAATAAAATGGAAATTAATTATTTAAAAATCATACATTGTATTTTTCTGGATTTTTGTTTTAGATTCCATCACTCACAGTTGAAGAGTACCTATGATAAAAATTACAGTCATCTACAAGCTTTGCAAGTGGGAAAACCTGAAAAATTAACAGTGCATCAAATACTTGTTCTCCCCACTGTATATATTTGATCTAAATGTTAGCATTACAATGTTTATAGGTCTAAAAGAGGCTTCTAGTGGATGTTTTGTATATTCCATCTTTATATATTACAACATCTTTTGTGTTGGATGAACTTTTCATACGTTGGCAGAAGTTGTCTAAAATGTTGCGACAGGGCCTTTGTTGTTGTTTATATTTAATAGTTTGGTCATGCAGTTCAGCACTGCATTAACTAAAATCAAATATTATTCATTTTTATATGTTCTTTTTAACTTCTTTTTCTGCAAATGTTAAAATAGATTTTTTTTCAAATATATCAACTACTTTATTGATCAACTGCATTGATTAATTTTCCTCCAAAAATCACAGTCAGCTATTTTGTTTCAGTTCGTTCTTCTTTTAACAGCCACCATTTACAATTTACATTTTTACACTTAAAAATGCGAATGAAGACTTACAAGGCGCAAAATATTGGTTTAAAGTTCCAACTCCAACATGACAAATAAATAAAATAAAACTTGTTTTTCTGTATTTAACAAAAAACATAAATTACATCAGGTTTTTAAGAATTCCATCAGTAAAACTGCATCATTCTGTGATGAAAAATTCTTCATTTGCAGGAATTCAGTCACATAGTTCTGCCCTTCAGGAAAAGGAGAGAAACAAATACAACAAAATTATTTATAATGAAACTCGTGCCAATTGAAACAAAATTTGAACAGCTCAGACTGAATCTGTATTTGCATAATTTGAAATTGAATGTATTAGTTTAAAAATGGATTTCATTAAATTGAAACTGTTTAACGTTTTGAATCTGAGTTAATTTGCTTTGAAACTGTATTTTGTTGCATTAAAAATTCAGTTTGACTACGTTAACTTTCAGTTCTATAATTCAATTTCAGTTCCAAAATTAAGTTTTTGTGTCACACGTCCTGGTCCTTGAGAGAGCCGAACACAGACTAACAGATTTACATCAGTAATACTGTGTTCACACCAAACGCGATTTCAGCTTCAAAATCACATCCAACGCTTCAAGTTTGAAGCTTGTGCACTTTGA